TATTATTAAAAAGACTTAAAAGTTTCTCTTGGCAGAGTTTGGGGAAATGGGCAGCAGGCACCATGCCTAGCTCTAAAGGTGGAAAGAAGAAGCCCCGAAGCAGGCCAAGGAGATAGATGAGGAAGAAAAGTCTTTCTTTTCATTTCTTTTTCTTTCTTTTTTTTTGAGACAAGTCTCACTCTGTCACCCAAGCTGGAGTGCAGTGGCGTGATCTCAGCTCACTGCAACCTCTGCCTCCTGGGTTCAAGCAATTGTCCTGTCTCAGCCTCCCAAGTAGCTGGGACTACAGGCACGTACCACGATGCCTGGCTAATTTTTATATTTTTAGTAGAGATGGGGTTTCACTATGTTCACCAGGCTGGTCTTGAACTCCTGACCTCTGGTGATCCACCTGCCTTGGCCTCCCAAAGTGCCGGGATTACAGTCGTGAGCCACTGAGCCCAGCCAAGAAGGCTTTCAAACAGAAACACAAAGAGGAACAGAAGAAACTTGATGAGCTAAAAACAAAGGCCACAGGCAAGGAACTCCGGGCCACAGGTGAAATTAAGAAATCTGGCAAAAAGTTAGCTGTTCCTTGTGCCTGAGGTAATGGTGACTTTTGATTCCATTCCTGTAAGCATCTATATTCTTTTTCATAACACCTTTTGCCATCTATATAGCTAGAATGATTGTATAGTCATGAAGCCTATTGTACATTTAAGAATAAACTTTTAAATGCTCTTGGACATTATTGGGCTTGCAGAGTTCCCTTATTCTGGGGATTACAATGCTTTTATCATTTCAGGCTTCATTTTAGCTTCAAAACAAGCTGGGCACACTGTTAAATCATGATTTTGCAGAACCTTTGGTTTTGGACAGTTTCATTTTTTTGGATTTGGAATAGATTACATAGGAGTATGGAGTATGCTGTAAATAAAAATACAAGCTAGTGCCTTGTCTTAATAGTTTTAAGAAATTAAAGCAAACAAATTTAAGTTTTCTTGTATTGAAAATAACCTATAATTGTATGTTTTGCGTTCCTAGAAGTAGGTTAACTGTGTTTTTAAATTGTTATAACTTCACACCTTTTTGAAATCTGCCCTACAAAATTTGTTTGGCTTAAACATCAAAAGCCATGACAATTTGTTCTTTGATGTGATTGTATTTCCAATTTCTTGTTCATGTAAGATTTCAATAAAACTAAAAAATCTATTCAAAACATAAAAAAAAGAATAAACTTTTATAAAAATAAAATATAAAGGTAAAAAACAATTACAGATTTTGGTGAGGATGCAGATAAAAGGGAACTCATACACTGTTACTGTGAATGTAAATCAGTTCAGCTCCTGTGGAAAACAGTATGGAGGTTTCTCAGTGAACTAAAATGCAACTACCATTCAATTGAACAATCTCACTACTGGGTGTCTACCCAAAGGAAAAGAAATAAATATACCAAAAAGATACCTGCACTTCTTTGTTTACTGAAGCACAATTGACAATAGCAAAGATATGGAATCAACCTAAGTGTCCATCATTGGATGATTGGATAAAGAAAATGTGGTATGGATACATACATTGAAATACAACTCAGCCATTAAAAAAAGAATGAAATGTCTTTTGCAACAACGTGGATGAAACTGGAGGTCATTATCTTAAGTGAAACTAGTCAGGCACAGAAATTCAAATATCGAATCTTCTCACATATAAGTGGGTACTAAAAATGTATACCCATGAACTTAGAGAGTGGAGTAAGTGAGTGAGTTGGGAGAGTGCTGCAATCCTAGCACTTTGGGAAGCCTAGGTGCAAAGATTGCTTGAGCCCAGGAGTTCAAGACCAGCCTGGGCAGCATGGAGAAACCCCTTGCCTACAAAAAATACAAAAATTATCCTGTCATGGTGGTGCGTGCCTATATTCCCAGCTACCTGGTATAGTTAGGCAGAAGGATCAATTGAGCTGGGGAGGTTGAGGCTGCACTGTACCATGATGGTGTCACTGTGCAAGTAATAGCCAGTTGGTTTTCTGATTAGGTTAATAGAATTGATAAACCACTAGCGTGACTGATAGATCCATATGGCCAATAAGCATATGCAACATGCAACATGCTCAGCATGGTTAGGCATAAGAAAATACAAATTAAAACTACAGTGAGCTACCATTAAAACCCCACCAGAATGGCTAAAATTAGAAGGATTGACAATACCAAATATTGATGAGGATATGGAGCAGCCAGAACTCTCATATATTACTGGTGGGGGAATTGTTACAAAAATTTGGAAAACTCTGTGGTAGTCACTAGTACAGCAAATTAAAGATGCACCTCGGCTTATGGCAGTGTATGTTAAGGTAAACTCATCACAAGGTGAAAATATTGTAAGTAAAAACTGCATTTAATACACCTAACCTGGCAAACATTATAACTTACCGACTTAGCCTGTAGTGTAGAGCAGCAGTCCTTGAGCTTTTTGACACCAGGGACCAGTTTAGTGGAAGATAATTTTACCACAGACTTGGGATGTGGAGGGTGGTTTTGGGATAAAACTGTTCCACAGTAAATCATTAGGCATTAGATTCTCATAAGGTGCATGTAACCTAGATCCTGTGCATGTGTGCAGTTCACAGTAGGGTTTGTACACCTATGAGAATCTAATGCTGCTGCTGATCTAACAGGATGGCGAGCTCAGGTAGTAATGCTTCTACCACTCACCTCCTGCTGTGCAGCCTAGTCGTAACAGGCCATGGACTGCTGTAGAGTATCAGTTGTTTATCCTCATGATCCTGTGGCTGACTGAAAGCTGTGGCTTGCTGCCACTGCCCAGCATCACAACAAGAGCATCATAGCACATATTGCTAGCCTGGGAAAAGATCAAAATTCAAAATTTAAAGTATGATTTCTACTGAATGCATATCACTTTCACACCATTGTAGTCAAAACTGTAAGTTGAACCACTGTAAGTCGGGGCCATCTGTGTACATATATGTACCATATATACCTCATGACCTCTCGTATTGCATTTCTGGGTATGTAACAAAGAGAAATGATTGCTGTAACCCACAGAAGACATGAAAATGAATGTTCACAGCAGTTTTATTCATTTTAACCCAAAACTAAAGACATATCAAATGTCCAACAATAATATAAATTGTGGTATATTCTATGATGGAATGGTAGACAGTGGTGAAAAAGAACTAACTGCTGCTATCTACAACTACGTACATGAATCTTAGAGATTTATCACAGATTCATGCTGAGCAAAAGAAGCCAAGCATGAGAGTACAGTACATATGTAAAAATTCATGGAACTATACACTTAAGATTTGTCCACCTTCGTGAGGAAAATGTTTATATGTATATTATCATGGTTCAAATATAGAAAATATGTTCCATAACAGGCTGTCACGCTTCATATTTGAATTCATAAAGTTTTTAGTCAAGAAAACATTATTCTGCAAAATTAATGTTGTGTTTCAGACTCTATATGTTGAATAACATCTTTTTTCTGATCTAACCTAATATGAGGAGACAAGATTGAACTGCCTTCTGATAAAGAACCAAGAATTTTTTTCTCTACTTCCATTTGGTGCAGTGTATCAAACTAAAATTCAGAAAGCCTAGTAAATACAATTCTTACAAAATTTAATTAATTTGTTTATGTATTTATTTGTTTATTTATTGAGACGAAGTCTCTGTCACCTAGGCTGGAGTGCAGTGGTGCAACCTCTCTGCTCACTGCAGCCTTCACCTCCCTGGTTCAAGCAATTCTTCTGCCTCAGCCTCCACAGTAGCTGGAATTTCAGGCACCCAAAACCATGCCCAGTTAATTTGTGTATTTTTAGTAAAAATGGGGTTTCGCCATGTTGACCAGGCTGGCCTCAGAACTCCTGACCTCAAGCAATCTAACTTCCTCAGCCTCCCAAAGTGTTGGGATTATAGGCGTGAGCTACCATTTCCGGCCCAGAATTTTAAACATGGTTTTTAAAATTTAACAATAGCTAACTAGGAAAGATCATCTGCTGTTGAATTTAGGTTGATCAGTCATAATTTTTTCTTTAAATTTACCTGTAAGATAATATTTTATATGTAAATCATACTTTGAGGACTTACTTAAAAGTTTTATGAATAAAAAAATCACTTGGCTTTTATGTTTATGTATTGCATAAAGAGGAAACAGTTCAGTATCATTTTTTCGTTTACCATAGATCTGTTGGTTATTGATGTCCACAAGAAATTAAGTCCCTAGTTCATAAAATATTTGATAATTCATTACAAAAGAAAATTTTTAATGGCTGGGGATAGTGGCTCATGGCTATAATCCTAGCACTTTGGGAGGCTAAGGAAGGAATATCACTTGAGGCCAGGAATTTAAGACCAGCCTGGTAACATAGGAAGACTCCGTCTCTACAAAACACAAAAATTAGCCAGACATGGTGGTACACACCTGTAGTCTCAGCTATTTGGAAGGCTGAGGTGGGAGCATCGCTTGAGCCAAAGAGGTTAAGGCTTCAGTGAACCGAGATCGTTCCTTTGTACTCCAGCCTGGGCAATACAGCGAAATCCTGTCTCAAAAAAAAATTTTAAACAATTTTTCAGCTGGGCACAGTGGCTCATGCCCGTAATTCCAGCACTTTGGAAGGCTGAGGCGGGCGGATCACCTGAGGTCGAGAGTTCGAGACCAGCCTGACCAGCATGGAGAAACCCCGTCTTTACTAAAAATACAAAATTAGCCGGTCATGGTAGCACATGCCTGTAATCCCAGCTACTCGGGAGGCTGAAGCAGGAGAATTTGGGAGGTGGAGGTTGCGGTGAGCTGAGATGTGCCATTGCAGTCCATCCTGAGCAACAAGAGCGAAACTCCGCCTCAAAAGAAAAAAGAACCAATTTTTCTAATTTAAAATTAATTATCATAGGTTGGGTCACCTGACCTCTTTCCTACTCAGTATTCAGCAACTGTTTAAGATAAGAGAGTGACAAGTAGTGAATTGATACATACAGAATCCTGAAGAGTAATATATTTTTTTATAGGCAGAGCTTCTGGACGCTGCTGCTGGCATTCATGTGCGATTCAGATTAGGTGGAGTAAGTATGGATGAATGTTTATTTAGTAGTTTTAATGCACATTTTTAATAGAACTTTTAAAGAATAGATATAATGTATTCATTATTATTATACTTTAAGTTCTGGGATACATGTGCAGAACGTGCAGGCTTGTTACATAGTTACACATGTGCCATGGTGGTTTGCTCCTTCTGTCACCCCATCATCTACATTAGGAATCTCTCCTAATGCTCTCCTTCCCCAACCCCCACCTCCTGACAGGCCCTGGTGTGTAATATTCCCCTCCCTGTGTCCATGTGTTCTCACTGTTCAACTCCCACTTATGAGTAAGAACAGGCAGTGTTTAGTTTTCTGTTCTTATGTTAATTTGCTGAAAATGATGTTTCCAGCTTCATCCATGTCCCTGCAAAGGACATGAACTCATCCTGTTGTATGGCTGCATAGTATTCCATGGTGTATATGTGCCAGATTTTCTTTATCCAGTCTGTTATTCATGGGCATTTGGGTTGGTTCCAAGTCTTTGCTATTGTGAATAGTGCTGCAATAAACATACGTGTGCATGGGTCTTTATAATAGAATGATCTATAATCCTTTGGGTATATGCCCAGTAATGGGCTTGCTGGATCAAACGGTATTTCTAGTTCTAGATCCTTGAGGTATTGCCACACTGTCTTCCACAATGGCTGAACTAATTTACACTTTCACCAACAATGTAAAAGCATTCCTATTTCTTCACATCCTCTCCAGCATCTGTTGTCTCTTGACATTTTAATGATCGCATTGTAACTGGTGTGAGATGGCATCTCATTGTTAAAGCACATTTTTATGAAATGGAAACAATGTAAGTTTTTAAAATGTAAAACATTTTTATAGTTATATTACAATGGTTCTTTGAACTTTTCCATCTACAGGTTAAGTTTCCACCTGATATATACTATAAAATTTTTACTCACAGACATATTGAAGATCTGTGTGCTAACAGCCCTAGAAATTATGCAAAACTTCCAGCAAAGCATACATCTCATAATAAAGATGATCATCTTCAGGAAGAGGATTATAGTGGCTGGTATCATCGTATAGAAAACAATGGCTGGAGGCCAGTTTCTGATAGAGTAAGAAAAGAGAAATGTTAATAATTTTTAAGCTTATCTATTTAGAAATCCATTTTTTTGAAACTTAATTTTAAAATTTTTTAGAAATAATAAATTCTATTAGTTTAATTGATAAATTTTGCATACATTAGCTACTCTGGGGTTGCTAATAATACTTCAAGGGACAGCAATTTTTTTTCTTATTATATTTATTTCTTCTTTTAATTATCAGCTTTGAATAGGCCATCTTTAGATACTCTGTGGTACTCAGCAGATTGTATACACAGTATACAGATTGTAGAATGTGATATGTTGACTATATTAACACTAAGTATTGCCAGATGCTGTGGTTCATGCCTGTAATCCCAGCACTTGGAGCTGAGATGGTGCTACTGCACTCCAGCCTGGGTGACAGAGTGAGACTCTGTCTCAAAAAGCAAACAAACAACAAAAACAAAACAAAACAAAAGAATATACTAAGTGTAAAAATGATCAAGGTATGAATTCATTCGTTTAATAAACTATTGCATATCAACCATATGCCAGACATTGTTCTAGATGCTGGGGATAGACTTAAGTAGCTTGCCTTTCAATTAGGGAGACAGTCAAGCAAACAGGAGATTTCAGTAGAATGTAGTAAACATGTTAAGTGGTTTAAGAAGGGTAAATATATAGTGTTTGGAAGGATTAACAAACTCTCCTTATTATCTAGGGTGTGTGTGATAGAGCAGGGGGAATGAGTCGGAAGAGGGAAAATAGACAACCATGTAGGAGAAAGTGTCATAAAGGAGAAACCACAAAGTCTTAGGACATGATACAGGGACTTCTGCATTCCTGAAAGGTGGCTGTACTCCTTGAGGATTAGAGTAATTGAAAGCTATCAGCACTAAGAGTAGCTTAGTCATCATGTGATAAGATGAGACACTGTTAGGATATATCTTTTTATCCATTCAACAAATACTTATTAAGTACCTCAGTATACTGATACTTTGTCGATCTATCTGTAGCATGTGCTTCTGAAGGCTGAGTGTACTACTTGCCCATCAGTTAATTAGAAATACCTTGAAAAGATCTATCCTCTCCTCTATTTCTATCTTGGCATGTTCCTACTGAGCACATAGAAGTTCTTGTCTATTGGCAAATAACCTCACAATCGTATTTCAACATTTTCTATATTTATTTTTGCTTCTCAATAGTTTTGGCTATCTACTGACAGTGTAGTGGTGGAAGACAAAAAGGAAAGTGAATTCCATTTCTCTAAACTAAAGAAAAGGCAAGACTTGGAAAAGAAAAGAAAACTTACAAAAATAGAGTGGATGAGGCAAATGTAAGTTGATGAAACACGAAGGAAGAATATAGTATTTGGGGAAAAAAAACACATTTGGAGAACTATACTTACTGCCTGATTTTAAGACTTGTAAAGCTACTATAATCATGACATTGTGGTATTGGCATATAGACATACAGATCATGGGACTGAATATGGAATTGTGAAACCCCCATATATATTGTTAATTAATTTTCAATAGAGGTGCCAAGGGAACTAAATTGGGAAAAAAGTAGTCTTTTCAACAAATTGGATATCAAATGCATAAAAATGAAACTTGAGTCTTATCTTACAACATATGTAAAATTAACTGAAAAGAGATCATTAAGTATAAGAGCAAAAACCATAAAGCATCTACAAAACTAATTGAAGGAGAAAATCCTAGTGCCTTTTGTCCTGGCCAAGATTTTTTAAAGAGGACACAGAAGCCAAGAACTATAAAAGAAACAATTTTAAATTTCACTTCATCAAAATTAAAAGCTTTTGTTCTTTGATTGACATGTTTCAAAAATAAAAATACAAGCCATAGACAGGGATAAGATGTTTGCAAAGTATGTGTCTGACAAAGGTTTTGTATCAAGAATATGTTAAAAAAAAAAAAAAACTCTAAACAATAAATTTTAAAGTGGGCAAAAAATTTGAATAAACACTCCAGTGAAGTTATATAGAAGCAGATTAGCACAACTCAACCAGTGACTAACATCATTAATCATTAGAGAAATGCTTACTAAAACAATAATGAGATACCACTACATACCCACTAGAATGACTGAAATAGTCTGTCATACCAATTGGTGGCAAGGATATGGAGCAAATGCAAATTAGTGTGTGCACTTTGGAAAACCATTTGACAGGTTTTTTTAAACAAGTAAACTATTAAACTAGTCATTCTACCCCTACATAATTTACCCAAGAGAAATAAAAACATGTCCACAGAAAGATTCTTTGTGAATGTTCATAGCTGGTTTATTTCTCATTATAATAGTGAAAAACCAGAAACAGCACAAATGTGCATCAGCAGGTGAATGGGTAAGCAAGTGATAGGATGTCTACACAAAGGAATACTACTCAGCAGTACCACGGAATGAACTGCTGATACACAGAACGACATGGACCAACCTCAAAATAATGCTGAATGAAAGAAATCTGTCAAAAAATAGTACATACTCTATGATTCCATTTACATACAGTTCTAGAAGACACAAATCTGCAGTGCACAGAGAAGATCAGCAGTTATCTGGAGATGGAAAAGAGTAAAGAGAGAGGGATTCCAAAGGAAAGCAAGGAAACTTTGGAGGGTGATGGATAGTTTCATTTTTTATTGTAGTGATGGATTTACAGGTATATAAACATGTCAAAACTGTACATTGTACAATTTAAATATGTGTAGTTTATTGTACATCAACCATACCTCAGTAAAATAGTTTAAAAAATAAAGAACAGGTACAGACAATCAGAAGACCTCCCCGGCAGCTCTGAAGCGGCCCTTCATCTCTTGTAATCACAGCATGGGTTGAGGGCAACCGCGTTTTCTATTGCAATGGCCACAGGGTTACAGTGCCTACAGCACTACCAAATGCTTAACCCTGCCAGGTCTTTTGCACTAAGATAAGGGCACTAGTGGTGAAGAAGTAGAATCCTGAGACCTGGGATTAGGACATTTGGGCAAACATACACAAAGCCAAGAACTTTGAGCTTCCAAAGTGCCTTGTTGGTATAGGGAACCCTAGCTCTCCCTTTTGAGGGAAGCAACTCTTCTCTGCATAAAGGCCTTTCAGTGACTGCATTGGCACAGTTGCCACACACATTTGTGCTGATTGTCCTCAGGATTCCCCCTCCACTATTTCTCATTGTCTTCAGCTCACAATGAGATTTGTATCTCAGGATAGCCCAGACAGCAGTAGAAGGTCCACTCCAAGAGGAGATAGTTTAGAAAACCAGAAGAGTTACAAGAATTTACTAATCTGTATTGCCAGCAGTCTCAGAAGCATTGTGTGAGGGTGGATCCTAAGATTGTTAGATCCAGTTGGTTAGGCTGAACTTACTGATTTGACCATACTCACCTGGAATTGTGGATTTAATGTTTTGGCTTGAGTTCGCAGAAATTATGTTAATGGTCTGTTAGATTAGCCAATCAAAGCCGATTTAGGTAGAACCAACGAAAGCTCTACCTTTGCAAAATGCCGGAACTTCTCTGGCGTACTGTAGAAAAAGGATTTCTAAAAGTTCAGAGAATTGTGTGTGTGTGTATGTGTGTATGTGCAGTCTACTAAACCACCATCTCGCCATTACCCCAGGAAGTCCCAAGAGATAGCTTTTTTTTTTTCAATCAAGCTATGTAGTAATAGCTTGGTGAGAGGAGCAACATATTTCTTTTTCTTTCTTTCTTTTTTTTTTTTTTTTGTGTGTGGGCTGGGTGACGGAGTCTTACTCTGTCACCCAGGCTGGAGTGCAGTGGCTCAGTCTTGGCTCACTGTAACCTCCGCCTCCTGGGTTCAAGCAATTCTCCTGCCTCAGCCTCCCGACTAGCTGGGATTACAGGCATGCACCACCATGCCTGGCTAATTTTTTTGTATTTTTAGTAGAGATGGGATTCCACCATGTTGGCCAGGTTTCTCTCGAACTCCTGACAGCATGATCCGCCGGCCTCGGCCTCTGAAAGTGCTGGGATTACAGGCGTGAGCTACCATGAAAGGCCTAGGAGTAGCATACTGCTTGATGAACTCTGTGGTTGCTGTTCTTTACAAGGATGGAGATTATGGTAGGGGAAGCTGTGATGGAATTGATTCGTTCAGGTCACTGGGATGAATGGAACTTTGAAGTGGTAGAGGTCAGGTGATGGCACAATTACAGCGAGGCTTCCTGTTGTGGCTTCTTCAATAGAGGAAATCAACACAGCCCCTGGCACCTGGTATGCTGCAAGTGACCTGGCAAATGTGTTATTTCCCATCCCATCCCAATCACTAAGCAATAGGAAAAGCAGTCTGCATTTTCACAGAAAGAACAAAGTGTGTTTTTACGTCTTGCTCTTGGAAATATATCAGCTTTCCTGCTCTCGTCCCCAGGGGTTTGTACATCTGTTTCCACAGAACATTATGCCTGTTCATTATATTTATGTTCTTACCTTGATTGGGTGTGGTGAGCGGAAAATAACAACTCCCTTGGTGGCTTAGTAGGACAAAGGCACACTACAAGGAAGCAGATAAACTTTGAAAAAGTTAAGGTTCTGGCATATAACCGAAGCTTAAAGACATTTGAGATATCCTTTAGAAAGTGAGATACAAGTTACTGTACCTTGTCCCATTCACCTTGAAGAAGCACAATACTTAGAGACCTTCTCTCAATTTGAGAGCTAATGTGTGACACATTTTGGGCATGCTGCTCCCCTTTACTAGGTGAGCTAATAAAGTCAGCTGGCTCCAGTGGGACATGGAGCAAGAAAGACAATGTAGTCAAGCTGCCCTGCAACTTGGGGCTTATGGCCCAGCAGTCACAACAGCATTAGAAATGTTCATGGTAGTGAAAAACTGTGTAGAGCCCCTAAAGAGTCCAAATGGGGGAATTACAGCACAGACCTCTAGGGTTTAGGAAGAAGGTAATGAATTTCCTCTTCTGACAGAAGCTATTTTCCATTTGAAAATCTGTTCCAGATTTGCAACTGGGTCCTGGTAAAGACTGGATGCTTGGCAATAGGATACCAAGTGCTGTGATCATGAACTGACTTAGGTTTCATCTAATCAATTAAACCATAAAATTTAGAGTATGTAAAACTGTTTCAGTATAAAATAAATGTGGTCTATATGGGAATGGTTCTAAGAAGGTCCAGAAGGCCCCAGTAAGCTGCATGAGCAGGTGGCTCAGACTCCTGCAACCACTACTTATACTGCATTGCCTTTTATATCATCTCCATACCTTTGGCTTCATAGAGAGTCCCTATGACAAGTTAACAGGGAGGAGGAATATGTTGGAGAAATAAGTTTATCTGTAGAAGATTGTTGCACCATCTAAAAATGGACGGTTACTGATTTTAATTCCCCTGTTAGCCCAGTAAATGATCAAAGGATATTCTTCCAGTGAGCATAACTTCAGGTGGTACATTTAGTTTTCCACTTCATTTGAAGGGGTAACAGCCTGTGGTAGGGATTTCACTGACTGTGCTGATGTGCTGACTGACATTTATAGTTTCCCAGCTGATCAACATTCGCAAAGAATAAAATTGGAAAATTGGTGAGTAGGTCAGGGTAGAGGTATACTCAGAATGGATACAAAGTATATTTCTGTCCCACGTGAATGCCCTCCAAAGGGCATATATGAGGCAGACAGCTCTCAGTAATCAGATGGACAAGATGATCCATCTTGTGAATGTCAGCTTTTTCCCATGGCACCTCAGTGGTTTCATCATGGAGTCTTGTCCAGAGTGGCCAGGATTACAGGGATGGAGGCTTTATATAGACTCAACAACATGGTCTTCCCCTCACCAAAGTTGTTCTGGCTGTAGTCACAGCTGACTATATAGCAAAGGCCATTGCTTTGCCCCTAGTAATGAGATATGCTGGCTAGTTGGTGACAGGCTGATTATATCAGACCATTCCCATAATAAAGGAGGCATCCATTTGTCCTTACAGTGATAGGCAAATATTCTGGATATTAATTTTATTTCTCTGCCTGCATTACTTCTGGCAACAACACCTCTCATAACAGAATGCATTATCCATCATAATTTTATTGCATACAACAGTGCGTCTATGTAGGGAACTCATTAACAGTAAAGGAAGTGTGGTTATGGGCTCAGAACAACAAAATTCACCTACCATATGTGCCATCACCTAGAAACAGCTGGCTTTGACAGAATGTGGCATGACTTGCTGAAGCACCATCACAGTACCAGCTGGGAGACAGCACCTGATGATAAGCCAATGTACATGAAGAATATCATGCTATTTTACTTCTTTCTGTGCTCGTTTACCCTCAGCACAATCCTCATCTGTAACCGTGTTCTGTATTTTTAATTATATGGGTATTTCTATATCAAACTCAACAGTTGTAAAACTGAATTTCTGACCTTCCCCATCATAAAAGTTGTCTCTTCTCGGGATTTCTTCTGGTCTCAGCTTGTGACACCACCATTTAGACAGTCATCCAAGTCAGAAACAGAGGGCTATCCTAGATTTCTCACTCTTTTACAAGTGCCTACATGTAATCTGTCATCAAGTCCTATTCCACTTCCAAAGTATCTCCCAAATCCGATCTTTTATTCTCCACTGTAACATCTCATTTTTCATCTACCTTCTAATGAATTTCCTTGTCTCTAGTCTCTTCATCTTCTCTGTATAAACACTGAACTGATGTTTCTAAGACAGAAATCATTTCTCTACCTAAAACATGTTAAGGGCTCCCCATTACCTACACCCCCTGTGATATTTCCTCTCCCTAGGGTGCTCAGCTGCATGGCAATAGCATCTTCATCTTTTGATACTTGGCCCAAATATCTCCTTATGAAACATTCCCTTACCTACCTAGACACAGTTAGGTACTTCCTTTTGATCTGCCCCATGGATCTTTTATATATTCAGTGGTTACATTTGTGCAATTATCTATGTATTTGTCTGCCATCTCCACTAGACTTTGAGTCCCTATAGAGCAGAGACTTCTATTTATGAGCACAGGATTTCAGACATAGTTCATGTTTAATGAATGTATGTTGCTTATAGAATAAATAAATGAATGAATGAATTCTTATGACTGGGTGTTACATTTCCTTTTCATAGGGTTGCAGGGAATGAATGAGAGATTTTACTTTGTATGCTATGTTCATTGATGGCTTTTAAACACTCTTCATTCCGACTGTTGCTGAGAATCAATAATGAATAAAATCAACAAAATTTTGATTTTTTTACCCCTGTCTTACTAAAAGAATTCTGGTTTTTAAATCCTGTTCCATCCTGTGTCCTATAGATCTTAGCTTTCCTCAACCTCCTTTGCAACTTAAGCTTTGATTCTTCGTAGGTCTTTGTTATTTTAACTTTTCTCTCTGTTAATGACATTCAGACAAACATTTCTTATAATATCCTTTCTCTTTAAATTTCTTAGTTTAGAAAGAATATATGATCATGTTAAAGTGAATACAACCAAAAATATATTGCAAAATTACCTATACATTTTATGTCTTTTTTTTTTTTTTTTTTTTTTTTTTTTTAAGAAAGAGTCTTGCTTTGTTGCCCAGGCTGGAGTGTAGTGGCAGCATGTCACTGGATTCAAGCATTCTCCTGCAACCTCCGCCTCTGGATTCAGGCATTCTCCTGCCTCAGCTTCCTCAGTAGCTGGGACTACAGCTACATGCCACCACGCCCAGCTGATTTTTGTATTTTCAGTAGAGCCTAGGTTTCACCATGTTGGCCAAGCAAGTCTCAACTCCTGACCTCAAATGACCCGCCCACGTTGGCCTCTCAAAATTCTGAGATTACAGACATGAGCCACCAACCCAGCCAATTTTATGTCTTTTTAAAAAATCACTTGTTTGTTTATAAAATATGTTTATAAAGTGATCTTTTATTTCTTATCAGTATATTTGAAACACTATTTCTACTTGCAAACCTGTTGTTTTGTCAATATTTATACTACTTAGTTATAATAGTAACTCTTAAAAGAGTTCAAAACCTGAGAATTAAATTATTTGAACAATTACTATGACTTTCTTGAAAACAAAGTACATTTATACTTCCTTAATAAGAGAAAAAAGATATCTGAATTGTTATATTTCACTGTTGAAAAAAGAAAAAAAAGAGGCCAGGCACCGTGACTCATGCTTGTAATCCCAGCACCTTGGGAGGCTGAGGTGGGTGGATCACTTGAGGTCAGGAGTGTGAGACCAGCCTGGCCAACATGGTGAAACCCCATCTCTACTAAAAATACAAAAATTAGCCAGGCGTGGTGGTGCCCTCATGTGATCGCAGCTACTTGGGAGGCTGAGGCAGGAGAATTGCTTGAACCTAGGAGGCACAGGTGGCAGTGAGCCGAGATCACACCACTGCACTCTAGCCTGGGCAACAGAGCATTTGCTCTTATGGATCATTCTTCATTTAAATTCTGATGAAGTCGAAATTTCATGAGGGCAAGGATGTATCTTCTCACTTTTATAGCCCTACCACTCAATACAGTGTCAGCCTATGAATGCTTACTATGTACCAGTGTTCAAAATGCTTTACATAGGTTTACACTTTTTTTATTATTTTTAAAATTTTTTTGGGCTGGGCACGGAGGCTTACACTTGTAATACCAGCACTTTAGCAGGCCGAGGCGAGCAGATCACAAGGTCGGGAGTTCAAGACCATCCTGGCCAATATGGTCAAACCCTGTCTTCACTAAAAATACAAAAATTAGCCGGGTGTGGTGGCAAGCGCCTGTAGTCTCAGCTACTGGGGAGGCTGAGGCAGAACAACTACTTGAACCTGGGTGGCGGAGGTTGCAGTGAGCTGAGATTGTGCCACTGCATGCCAGCCTGGGTTACAGAGCAAGACTGTCTCAAAAAAAAAAAAAATAGTGTAGGGTTAGGGAAAAAATACATACATATATATTTTTGTAGAGAGAAGGTGTTTCTGTTTTGTCCATACTGGTCTTGAACTCCTGGGCTCAAGGGAGTCTCCTGCCTCAGTCTCCCAAAGTGCTGGGATTACAGACATGAGCCATCATGTCCAGGCCACATGGATTGATACTTCTAAATCTCTTAAGAATGCCAGGAGGAAGTAGTGTTATGATTACTTTTTTTTTTTTTTAAGAGATAAGGTCTCGCTCTGTCACCCAGGCTGGAGTGCCAGTAGTGTGATCATAGCTGACTGCAGCCTTGAACTTCTGGGCTCAAACAATTATCCCATCTCAGCCTCCCCAGTAGCTGGTACTACAGGCATGTGCCACCATGCCTGGCTAATTTTTTTTATTGTTTGTAGAGATGGAGTCTCACTATGTTGTCCAGGCTATTCTTAAACTTCTGGCTTCAAGCGATCCTCCTGCTGTAGCCTCCCAAGGTGCTGGGATTATATGCATGAGACTCCACACTTGGCCTTGATTACCATTTTAAGGCCGAGGTCAGTCAGGCCCAGAAAGGCTAAGTTACTTAGCAAAGATTATATAACACAGAACTAAGATTCACATCCAGATAGTTTGATACCAGAGTCTTGCTTCATATCACCACTATGCTGTTTCCTAATCAATGGGTGTTAAATTAATAAATGAATACAACTTCAAAACAGGTGACCCTTTAAAATGGCTACCAATGTAGACCTTAAGATGAATACCAAAAAAATGTTTTGATGATCTTGGTAAGGACTGCTGACTTATCTCTAGTTACTCAGCTCATTATCAGTGAATATATTATTTTAAGTGCTTGGATTAAGACAGGCAGTGCTGCAGAAGGAGGCTGAACATAAGACTAAGGGTCAGAATACTGGCTGTCATATATATTTACTACTACATTATCTTGAACAATTTCTTTAAGCATTTTTAAAATTATTAATAGAGATGAGCATCTCTCTGTTGCCCAGGCTGGTCTCAAACTCCTAGCCTCAAATGATCCTCCTGCCTCAACCTCCCAAAGTGTTGGGATTACAGGCTTGAGCCACTACTGTGCCCGGCTTTGAACAATATTTTAGCTTCTCCAAGTCTGTTTCTTTATCTCTAAAAGGGAAATAAAAATAGCTGCCACAAATAGCTGTGTCTTTTCTTTTTTTTTTCAGACAGAATCTTGTTCTTGTTGCCCACGCTGGAGTGCAATGGCACTATCTTGGTGGACTGCAACCTCTGCCTCCCAAGTTCAAGCAGTTCTCCTGTTTCAGCCTCCTGAGTAGCTGGGTTTACAGGCACCTACCACCATGCCCGGCTAATTTTTGTATTTTTAGTAGAGTTGGGGTATCACCATGTTGGCCAGGCTGGTCTCGAATTCCTGACCTCATGATCCGCCCACCTTGGCCTCCCAAAGTGCTGGAATTTCAGGTGTGAGCCACCATGCCCAGTTTGGCTCTGTCTTTTTAAAGAGAAATAAGAATGTATGAAAAGTGTCTGGCACAAAGAAAATGTCAGTATCTGTTTTCCCTTTAACTCTTCCTCTCTTTCCTTTTTTCACTTTCCTTCCCTCTTCATCTGCCATTAGCCTCTTGATTTTGTAAAATTTACTTAACTCCTCAAAGATTTATTTCCTCACCTATAAAATGAGTAGGTTAGTTATTTGGTTTCTAAGACCATTTCCACTCAATAATTCTATGATTCAGCAATTTAATAACTTTTTCTTTGTATCATAAAAATGCCACTTACTGAGAGGTGATTTGAAGTTAGTGTGATTGATCAAGTTGCTTTTTCCCCAAATGATTTCATCACATAGATCTTGGTTTAGATGCATCTGAGTTATATAGGAGAAAACTTTATTCAATATGCAAATAGTTTTAACATGTAAATAACAATATATGTCACTTGCATCTACTTGTAATCTCTTATTTCAAAATATTTACTTCTTTTTCCCTTTCCTCTATTTAGGTACTTCTCAGGAAGTCTGGAGGCTAAGTCAACACATCTTGAAACTCTAGGACTAATTCACAGTACAACAAAAGAGCTGATTAGAACTGTTGAAGACGGTGGGATAGATTCTGTGATGGAATGGGAAGTGGATGAAGTGCTGAACTGGACAAATACACTGAACTTTGATGAGTGAGTACACGTTGCTATTCTTAAGGAACAAGGGCAGTTATATATTTTTTTCCTAACATTTTCTATTTTCAAGTTGAATACTGGGGCCACAGACAATCTTCAAAGAAAAAAAAAATTATGAATATTTATTATTTGCCTAGAAAGAACAGAAGAAGAAATGAGGGGTAAGAAATGAATGATCTAGAAATAGTAAACAAAATTAGAATTAGGGTTCTTTATTCTTAGACATTATTCTCATGCCTTAGTCTGCTTTGCTTCTCACTTTGGGATTTAGAAAAAAGTCTAAGAGCATGAAATCAATAATACAAAGACTTTCTTTCATCTGTATACCCTAACCTTTCTATATGAGACACTAAAACATTACAATTTTTCAGTGATGTACTATGGCCCCTAGAAAACATTTTTAAGATTTCTTATGTGGTGGAAATTTTAGAATATTTATTGTACCCATTAAGGAAATACAATCAAAACCATAATGAAATACCACTTCATACCTACTAGGATAGCTGTAATTAAAGAGATAGATAATAACAAGTGTTTGCAAGAATGCGGAGAAATTGGAACTCTTATACACTACTAATGGGAATGTGCAATGGTGCAGCCACTTTGGAAAACAATCTGGCAGTTCCTCAAATGGTTAAACATAGAGCTGCCATGTGATCCAGCAGCTCCACTCCTAGATATATACCCAAGAGAGGGGGAAATACATGTCCACACAAAAACCTGTGCATAAATGTTCATAGCAGCATTAGTCATAATAACAAAAAAGCAGAAACACCTCAAATGTCCCTCAGCTGATGAATAGATAAATGAAATATGGTAGATCTATACAATAGAATATTATTCCACAATAAAAATAAATGGGCCAGGCATGGTAGCTCATGCCTATAATCCTAGTACTTTGGGAAGCCAGGGTAAGCAGATAGCTTGAGTCCAGCACTTTGAGACTAGCCTGGGAAACATAGTGATACCAAATCTCTAGAAAAGATAAAAAATTATCCAGGCCTGGTGGTACACTACTGTAGTCCCAGCTATTCAGGAGTCTGAGGTGGGAGGATCTCTTGAGCCTAGGAGATAGATGCTTCAGTGAGCCGTGATCACACCACTGCACTCCAGCTTGGGTGACACAGCAAGACCCTGTCAAAAAAAAAAAAAAAAAAAAATCCAAGTGTAGTAGCTCCCACCTGTAACCCCAGCACTTTTGGAGGCTGAGGTGGGAGGATTGCTTGAACCCAGGAGTTTGAGACCAGCCTGGGAAACATAGTGAGACCCTGCCTCTATTAAAAAAAAAAAAAAAGAAATGAAGTTCTGATCTATGCCATAACATTGATAAATCTGTTAAGTGAAAGAAGCTAGTCACAAAGGATCATGTGTCATTTTATTTATATGAAATGCCCAGAATAGGCAAACCTATAGAGACAGAAAGTAGATTAGTAGTTTCCTGGGGCTGGAGAGTTAACTGGGGGCAGGGGGGATGGGGAGGTGGTGGCTATGGAGTGCAGTGTTTCTTTTTGAGGCAATGAAAATGATTGAAAATTCATTGTGGGCTGGGCACAGTGGCTCCTGCCTGTAATCCCAACACTTTGGGACACCGAGTGGGTGGATGGCCTGACATCAGGAGTTCAAGACCAGCCTGTGACCAACATGGTGAAACCCCTTCTCTACTAAAAATATAAAAATTAGCCAGAGGCAGGAGAATTGCTTAAAGCTGGGAGGTGGAGGTTTCAGTGAGCTGAGATTGCACCATTGCACTCCAGCTTGGGCAACAAGAGTGAAACTCTTTCTCAAAAAAAGAAAAGAAGAAATAAAGTCCATTGTGGTGGTGGATGTACAACTCTGTGGATATACTAAAAGCCACTGAATATTATACTTTAAATGGGGAATTATATAATATATGAACTCTACCTCAATAAAGCTGCTTTAAATGTTCGATATTTACTCAATTACAATAAAGAATGTAGATACCGCATGGATGAAGAGGCAGAAAAATTTAAATGAAGATGGTGTAAGTAAAGAAATGTAAGAAAACAGAAGAAATCAGCAAACGTGAGATAAGAAAATGGGGTAGGAAAAATCAAGGTCATGGTCATTGAACAATAGAACATGAAAAAAACGCCAGAGGAAGCAGAGGAGAGAAAAATGATGCAAGGAAAGATAAATGTAGAAAAAGGGAAAGAATGATAAAGAACAAAGGAAAATCAAAACAAAAATAAAAGAAAAAAGAAGATACTGATGAGAAGGATAGATTGGAAAAGATAAAAAATAAAAGACTAAGTATCCATAGAAGGTGCTTTAAAATAAAGAGATTGCTGTGATTCAGTAACTACAATATTTTGTGCAGACCCGAGTCTTGAGATTCCCTGTAGACAGCTGGTCTGTAGTTTCTGGGACACTAAACAAATGCAGATGGTAATAATGATGCAAGAAATGACAGCCAAGCAAAGGAGTTGCAGTGCCTTGCTTTTACTTTTCTTCTTAAGAGTAAAAATTGCTGGGTGGAGAAGAGAGGGAAGAAAAGGAAAGAGAGGTCAGGGAGGTCCATTTTGAATTAGTTTCCCAGGACTGGATAGAGAGTTTTCTGAAATCCTGCTCTGCCTTTCTCTTGTACAACTAGTTGGCTGGTTCAAGCAAAGGGCCAGCAAACAAGTACAAAAAATTGATACTAGATATTCTATATTCTATCATTACTGGAATATAAAAAGAATAAAACCATTGAGTTCAAAGGAAAGAAAAAATAGGCATCTCAGTCTACATAAGACTTTCCCTGCTCTCCGCTAAGTGATAGTAGGTGAAGAGTCTTAATGGCTTCCCTTTGTCAGGGGGTGGGGGGAGAATAAACCTGTAAGACTTGAAGTGATTTCTTCATAGCATATACTCTACATGGAATGAAATGGATATACCTAGCTTTCAGATGATAAGAGTAACTGAAAATTTCCATTTTAAAAAATGCAAATATCCTGTTTTCAAGTTATGTATAACTTCTATCAGTTTATTTTCTGAGTTGAGGATAATCATAATTTCTTACCAACATGGGCTCTTAGCAAGATTTTATACTGAGCCTTGAACAATAAAAATTTTAGATGAAATTTCAAGTGTGGTTATCTGGGTATATCTCAGTTGCACTACTTGGCCACAACACTGATTATCTCAGTAAGACCAAATTAGGCATAAGCCCCTTCTTCCCAGTGCATTTATGGTCTCCACAGTCTGCTTCCTTGTTTGACCTTTGTAGTCCTCTAGATATTTTGTAACTGGCTCGGTGATACCTTGTTTGATGTAAATTTAAAAGTCTGACATTTGTCCCCTCTAGAGAATTGGTCATCCCCAATTCCTTGGAAAGTATCCTTCAAAGTCTATGGAGATTTTTCTATAACTGGACAATTAGAATGGCATAAATTCCTTGAAAACTGTTATTTAGTGATAACAACCAGTTTCTCCCCAAAGGCTTTTGTGCTAGCCCATTATGACAGACTGATGCTCTCCTGAGATGAAGCCATGTGCATCTTCAGATGCATACTGCAACTATTAACTGAACACTATTATTATCATTTGGAAGAAGGTATAGAGCCATTTTTACTTGTGGACTCAAACACATTAATGAATACTGTTGCAAATTCCTGTATCCAGAGCTATGTTGCTTCAGATGTTTACAACCTAGAACAATCCCCACATCACCATCATGAAGTTATGCACAATCCCATAGGACAGCTACCATGGCTGTTGCTGGCATTCATCCTAATGGATATTCAGATGTTCCTCTTCCAGGATCATCATGTTTTTCAAACACCAAGTTAACTTTGACATACCTATTAAGCAATCAGCAACTAGGAAATACTAAATACTTTCCTTGTATTCTGTTGGTGAGAGCTCTGTGCCTATGTTTGTTACAGATAGTTTCTATATCTGAAGCTGCTCCTTTGATTTCTAAGATATGTAGTTTTGTGACCTCTCTGGCTAGGGACTTTTTCTGAGCTCTTAAATTGTTAAATTTGTAATTTAATGGAGATTCATTATAGATTCCACACATTCTTTATTCTGTAATTATTATCTAAAAATATCTACAAATTTCTTAATGAGAAGGATCAGCTCTGTGATATAAACAGCTTGGTTACGCTATCATCAGACTTGCTTTTATTTGTAAAACTTGGATTTCTTATCAGTTACTGCTGGTGTATTCTTTATGAGAAGTTCTTTTTAAAATAATGGAATAAAATTCATGTGCTAATTTTAGACAAAGCAGGGACAGTAATGGGCCCTAACTATGGTATATGTTTGTGCCCCAGGTTGTCAGGGCTTAGCACACTATTGATCAGGGTCTCTTATCTTGGTTCCTTGAAGGAGGAATGGAAGTCTTTCCTTGTAAAAATTCAAGCAAGCAGGGTGAGTCTTCATAGTGCTCCTGAGCAACCACTGAAAGCACAAAGTCTGTTAAAATTTAAGGTCAAGCCAAACTGAATTGCCTACTGAGAGATTGTTGAAGGATTTTATACTACCTGCTTTTTTCCTGAATCCTTCCATTTAAGTCACCCATTTAATAAGTATCCTATTTAATGGCCTTAAATAAGTATCCTATTTAAGGCCATTGAAGAAAGTTCGCAAGGCAACAAAAGGTAGCAGTAGTGAGAAGGTGCCAAATTCAGACACAACATCTTATTGTAATTAAATACTGTTGGACAAGCCAGGTGCAGTGGCTCATGCCTGTAATCCCAGCACTTTGGGAGGCCAAGGTAGGTAGATCACTCGAGCCCAGGAGTTCAAGACCAGCCTGGGCAAAATAGCAAGACCCCATCTACAAAAAGTTAAAAAGTTAGCCAGGTGTGGTGGCATGCATCTGTAGTCACACCTACTCAGGAGGCGGAGGCAAGAGGATGAGATCACTTGAGCCCATGAGGTTGAGACTGTAGTGAGCCATTGTGGCACCAGTGCACTGCAGCCTGGGTGACAGAGCTAGACCTTGTCTCTATAAAAATAAGTAATAAATACTGTTGGAAGTATATACTTTCCTACTACAAAAAACTTCAGGAGCGCAGGGTTGACAGGAATAAAAATAATTCAAATGGAATAAATAATTAAAAAATCACAGTGTTTTCTGAATTATATGACAATTCTAATTCTCCACATCCTCTCTGTGCCAGCTCCTTTCAGCACCTACTGTGACCAAATCCTGACCTGATTTTTTGGTTAAAGTGGGTGCAGTTGTAAAGGTGGTTTGGAAAAGTGGGATACAGAGGTTAAGGTGAAATAAGTCTGAGGAAACATGCCTCTTGGTGCTTTCCCTCATCCTCACAGAACATCATACCTTGTTCTTCTCTATTCCACCTCTTCTCAGGCAACCCTGGTCTCTCTATTTCAGTCTCTGTTCAGGGAGCTGAAGTGATAGCCACATTTGCTGTACCTGAAGGTATCTCATATGTGTTTTGGACACTGCAGAGACAGCGCTGCTGCTCTAATGAGCTCAAAAAGTAGACACTTTAAATTTCCCTTCATATATCAGAGACAGTGGGTCTGGCAATCCAGAACCAAGGAGAAAGTTTTTGTTGCTGTTTCCTCATGACTTTTCCATCTGACAGTTTTCTGTCCAGGCTTTAATTTAAATGTTATTAACATCTCAGAAAACACTCAGATGAGGACATGATCTTGCAGGAATTAAATAGGATAAAATGAGAAGGCATGCTACAGGGAGGCAAAAGGACACTAAGTATGGCAGATGGTGGGCACCATTTTCATACCTCCTTTAACTCCTTGTCCTGGAGGTTCTTAGCTGGGCGTGAGCTACTAAGAGGTTGGAAAGTCATAAGAATTAAACATGGAGGCTAGTGATGGTGGGTACCATTTTTATACTTCCTTCAGCTCCTTCTCCTGGAGATTCTTAGCTGGATGTGAGCTATGAGGAGGTAGGAAAATCATGAGAATTAAACATGGAGGCTAGTGAAGATGCCATTATTAATCTAAGATTTCTCAAAAGAAAGTGTAATTTTAGAAGTAGTCTAAGTATGTACTAATGAACTGATTTAGTTTAATGAATGCTCATATAATGTATGTAGGTACATTGCCAGCTGGAAGGAAATTGCTACAAGCAACTCTTCGGCTAATTTCAAAGGTAGGCAATTTTTAGCAGTAGTTTATGGGAAATTCTCATGAACAAAAAATATATTCTACACACTTATTTCTAGGCATTTAACATTTCAGTAATCTGCATAGTATATAAATTTAGATGCATTTGTCAAGTCATTTTTACCTTAGTATGTAAGATTGTTATTTGGGAATAGAAAGAAATGTCCTATATTATTTAAGGTTGAATAAAATGGTTTTTAAAATATGAATCCTTTGTTAAAAGTTACTGGTCAGGTACAGTGGCTCACACCTGTAATTATAGCACTTCAGGAGGCTGAGGCAGATGGATCACTTAAGGTCAGGGTTTGAGACCAGCCTAGCCAACATGGTGAAACCCCAGCTCTACTAAAAATACAAAAATTAGTTGGACATGGTGGCAGACACCTGTAATCCCAGATACTCAGGAGGCTGGGACAGGAGAATCACTTGAACAGGGAGGCAGAGGTTGCAGTGAGCCGAGATTACCCTACTACGCTCCAGCCTGGGTGACAGAGTGAGATTCCATCTCAAAAAAAAAAAGTTACTTATGGTTTTAGTAATGATTTTTCATGAGCAGACTCCACTTGGCAAAATAAATGCCTCAAAATATTGAAAATAGTTTCTAGGTTCTGTGGTTCTATGCCACTATTGTTCTGCCAGTAGTTAGCAGTACTGAAAACACTGAAAGTGAAAGCCATCATGTTAAAGAAGAGTGTCATCAGAGCCCAGAAATCCCGATCATTTTAACATAGCCAAAGCCCAGTTATTGCACACCTATCCTACTAGCAGATAGGAGAAGCAGTAAGCAGAGGTTAGAACTGTGGAGAGTGTTTATTTGTTTATTAGTTTTGAGATAGGGCCTCACTCTTTTGCCCAGGCTGGAGTGCAGTGGCCTCAATCTGAGTTCACTGCAGCCTCCACCTCCCAGGCTCAAGCACTTCTCCCACCTCAGCGTTCTGAGTAGCTGAGACCATTGGCATACGCCACCATGCCCAGCTAATTTTTGTATTTTTGTCAAAGCGGCATTTCACCATGTTGCCCAGGCTGGTCTTGAACTCCTAGACTCAAGTGAGCCATCCCTCTTGGCCTCCCAAAGGATTGTGGAGTCTTGATTCAGACTGCCTGGGTTTTGTTTTTGGCTCCACTCTTTACTGGCTATATGATTTTGGGCAAGTTACTAGCTCAATTTTCTCATCAGTAAAATAAGAATAACAGTAGTACCTGGCACATAGGTTGTGAGATAATAAAAGATAATACATGCACAGAGCTTAGAATAGTGCCTATCTCATAATGCATACTCCATAAATATGAGCTATCATTAGCATTAACTGGTCCACCTATTTCCAGCTCATTGCCACCCACTCAGCCCAAGTTGCCTTCACTTCTCTACAGGCTTCTGCAGTAGCCTCCAAACCAATGCTGCTTCATTCCCTACTCTGCACAATAGATAGTTATCTTTTACAAATTTAAATTGGCACAGAGACCCAGTGCAGTGGTTTATGCCAATAATCTTAGCACTTTGGAGGCCAAGTTTGGAGGATCACTTGAGGCCAAGAGTTCAAGACCAGCCTGGGCAATTTAAAGAGACTATCACTCTATAAAAAATAAAATTTCAGCGGGGCATGGTGGCACGCACCTGTAGTCTGCTACTTGGGAAGCTGAGGCGGGAGAATCATTTGAGCTCAGGAGGTGGAGGCTGTGCGATCGCACTACTGCACTCCAGCCTGGGCAACAGAGTGAGACCCTGTCTCAAAAAAAGAAAAAAAAAAAAAGGGAAACAATATAAATGACTGAGTTAAGAGCAATTACTGTCAAAAAAAGGAAAGATAACAGGATAGTAGTTGGAAAGAGCATAAGAGCAAGTGAAGATTATTTTAAGTAGTGGAGATATGCATAACTGAAGACAGTGAAGGTGATCCACTGGAGATGTTGGCATTGGAGAAGAGGAGAATGTATGTCACTTCTTCAAGAAGCCAGATAAATCCAGAGCAGATTTAGAAACATGAGCTCTGGAGAGGAAAAGGGCATCTCTTCCTTGTGAGTGAAGAAGTTAGCTAATAGTTAATTACAGAGCACTAACGAAATGACAGATACTCTGCTAAGTTCTTTACATATACCATCACATTCAATTCTTGCAGGAATATGATGACATAGGTGCGGTTATTATTCTCATTTTACAGATGAGAACACTAAGACTTAGGTTAAATAATTTGTCTCAAATAATGCAGCTAGTTATTAATAGATCAGACCTAAAACCCAGGTCCTACAGAGCCTTTTGTAGGGATGGATAGTGATATGTGGGAGTGAAACTGGGATGAACTCAGAAATTTGGGACATTTCTGGTTTCAGATGAAGATACTTCCTTTAAGAGTGATGAAAGGGAATGTGGAACAGACCAGCACATAGTAGCATTTTGAATGAGCATCTTATTACATCTGGAATATTTCTAATCATTTGTCATTTATCTTTAGGATTCAGATTTGATCAAGCACAGCAAAACATATATGACTATGGAGGAGATATATCAGAGATGGAAATGGGAACACCAGATGATACTTACTATGAAAATGTTTATCAAGAACCAAATGTAACTAGATTAACGCCTGATTCTACTTATGGACTATAAAGTACTTTATTTCTTCTGAGCTATAGTCCTTTGCGCCCTGCACCCATCAGTTATAGCCAAGAGATAATATATTCTGACTGGAATGACTTGTGTGTATATTCTGGGCACAGAATCCAGCTCAGTTAAGTAAGGAAGGTTGAGCAGAAATAGAACATTGGACTGAATACAATGGCCATGACAAATAAAGAAATTATTCCTAGTATTCTGAGAAACTGTAGTATTCTAACAGTCACACTTAAGTAAAGATACTATATTTAGGTGCAGAAACGTCAAACTGATTATTTTAAATGTTTGAGACGTTTAGTGTATTCATGTAAGGCAGAACTCTCTGCCCCTTTATCCCATGTGCAAATGTGCCTTGCTTCTTCCTCCCTTTCTCACTTATATCCTCTCATCACTCCATTTTTTTCTTCACTGAACCTTCTTTCCTCTTCTTGCCTCTCTGCCTGCTTACTCATCCTAGTTGTCTTTGCAATTCTCAGTTTCTCTCACACTTACTGCCTATTTTATGTCATTGTTATTTCTTTTTCTTTCTTTTATAATGTTCTTTATCCTTCCTTGTTTACATATTTCTCTTTACTTGCTTTCATCAATGTTGCCCTTTTCTTTTTCCATTTTCCTTTCTAGATCATTCCCCTAATCTCAGTTTTTTGGGGCCTACAATTTGCCTTCACTACTCTGCATGCAATACAGCGTTTTGGATTCACATTCCCTTGCTTCCAGGTCAGAGCAGTGAATTAGTTTTCTATCACTGCATAATAAGTTATCTCAAGACGTAGCAGCTTAAAGCAACAAACAATTATTATCTCAGACAGTTTCTGAGGGGTAGGAAACTGGGAGTGGTTTAGCTGGGTGGCTCTGGCTTAAGGTCTGTCAGGAGGTTGCAGTAAAGATTTTTACCTGGGTTGCAGTCATCTGAAAGCTTGACTGGGTTGGGAGAATCTGCCTCCAAGATGGCACACTTTGATGGTTGTTGGCAGGAGGCCTCAATTCCTTGATACATAGAGCTCCCCATAGGATAGTTTGAGTGGTCTCATAACATGGCTGAGCAAGCAACCTGAGACAGAGAGAGCAAGAGAGCGAGAGAGCGAGAGAGTGAAAGCGAGAGCGAGAGAGAGAGAGGAGAGAGAGAGACAGACAGACAGAGAGAGAGAGAGACCCCTAGTCTTAGAGGCCACACACCATCACTTCTGCCTTATTCTATTAATTAGAAATGCATTAAGTCCAGCCTACACTCATGGAGAGGAGCTGTTATCTTTATTACGCTTTATCTCTTAAAAGGAAGACTATCAAATAATTTGTGAATGTATTTAAAATTACCACAAAGAGAAAAGGAACAATCTTAGTCTTTCCTTTCAAAACAAACCATAAGATATTGGTACAGGTAGTTTATTTAGGAGATGATCTCAGAAATCACAAATTAGAAAGAGAAAGTGACACAGGGAAGGGAGGAAAGCCAAAAAAATTTGTGTTAAGAATGGGTTATTGTTGTGGGTATACAGGTCTCAGTTTGCTAGGAATGCTCTGAGGAACCATATAGAATGCATTTCAGAATTTTCCCACTAATGGACAGAGAAACCAGATATTTATCTACCAGCATGAGGAGCCAAACATTACCATGTAGCAATTATAGCTCTAGGTTCAGTGGAATCCTTATTGTGATCTCCAGGGGAACCATTCCCTCCCTCACTGGATATAGGGAGGATACAGTGGCTACATGGACTAAGTCCTGCTGAGTCCCAACTTGCAGGAACAAGAAGTGCAAATTCCCAAGGGATCACATCTCTACCTTGAATGACGCACCATAGGTATACCATAGTCAGCCAATCTTATTTGTATCCCTTGCTTCTTGGACCCATGTATTTAAGCTATTTGGACAGCACCATATAATGGTCATTGGTTCAATGTATATATCACATCCTGGAGGAAAATGCTCCAACCTAGCTGCATGTCATACTCAAGCTAGAACCTTAGGTTACTCCTTAACAGGCCAACTTAACATTCTAATAGTTTCTAGATTGTATGGCATATGATAGGACTAGTGTTTTCCATGGTCATATACTCATTTTAAAAATTTCTTTACTATAAAATTGGTCCCTTGATCAGAAAGCCCATAATAGTAAATCATGCATTTTATAGTTCCTTAGGTAGTGGTTCTAGTAGGGCCATCATGGGCAAGAAAGGCAAATCCATGCCTGGACCAAGTAGCAATCCCTGTTAAGAATAAATTACTGCAGTGTCCAAACCAGAATGGGTCTGATATAATCATGTTGTCACCAAACAACTGATTTGTCTTTTCAAATGATGGTGCCATATAAAGGCCCAGTGTCATTCAGCAGTGGAAGTAGCTAGTTTTTGTGAGAAAAGACCCGTGATTTGGGGCCCTTGGTTCCATCCTTGCCATAATGACTCTTCTGTTGATGAGCTAATTGCATAAGCACTAAGGTGGCCAAAAGCATGTTGGCTGGCCTTCAATGCCAAAGTCACCTTATTATTCTTATTGTTCATTGTCTCTTCTGAAGTGGGTGCTCTCTGGTAGGCTCTGGTACAGTGATATGTGAAGATCCACACCTTGTAAGTCAATCCTTATGATACTTCCCAGATTTCCTTGTCTCTAATCTGATTTTGCCCTTTCCAAGTAAGTACCTGACCAATGAGCCAGACTATTTGCCACTGCCCAGGAATCCATGTGTATCTCTACTTAAGGCTACTTCTCTCTCAATAAGAAGTGAATGACCAAGTATAGTGCTCAAAACTTTGCCCACTAGGATTTTCCCTCACCACTGTTCTTTAGGGCTATACTTAAGTGGGGCTGTAGTGAGGGATCAATCCAGTTTTAGCTTGAGCCAACTCATTCATGAACAAGGCCCAAGTTGATAGGGAACATCTCTGCCATGAGTGTCATACCATAGGTGTACCATAGTCAGTATCATCAGTGTGGGCTGAGAGAGAAGCATTTGTGCAACTAAATTAGATAACATGGAGATCAGGGCTACTTGCTGTGTAACTTACTTGTGCTTTTCCAATCTGCTGGAGATAATTCCCAAATGTCTCATGTTATGGGTATCTGCTGTGCCTGCTAGATCTGATTATTCACAGCAAATAACCTTCCCCCGTGAAATCTGTCAAATATTGCCCCTTTTTGAGAGGTTACGTCCATGACCCTTCACTCTCCAAGAAATTCCATATAACATTTATCACCAAGTCCTGCTTGAGGAGTAAGAAAGTAAAGTAGCTGGCCTGTGTTCCCTTCTCCTTGTCAAGGGAACCTCTAGGTACAGACTAATGTTATTTGTCCTCATGTAGCAGTCTCTTAGCAGGCTAACCCTGTGTAAGGGTTACTCAAATAAACCCAGGAGCTATGGATATCTGAGGGATGGCTTCCTGAAGAATGTTATATAACCTATACAATTCCCTGGGGTATCAAATTGAGACATTTTATGATTTAAATGTCCCTGCTCTGTGTAATGCAAACCCATAAAACCTTAACTGGAGACCTAATCTGTTATTCTAGGCCAGATAATGCATGTTCAGTGTGGCTGAAGCTCCACAGCCCACCCTTGCTGTCCCAGACTTTTCTCTGCTTTGTCTGAGCCTCGATTCCCTGTGTCATTGAAATTATTTGTAAAGCTTCAAACCGGGTAAAATATTTGTGTGACGATGACATGACAGTCCAAACTTTTGTTAGCTCAGATACTAATATCACCACACAAATATCTTCTGAATTCATGTACTTCATCTGTGCTGTCACAAACATAGACCATACCACCATCATCTTTTGCTAACTGGTTTCTTTGACTCAGGTCTTGTTTTCCACACCACAGCCAAAGTGATCTTTCTAAATAAAAATGTATTTAATTTCCTTCACTTAAAATACTTCAATGCTACCTCATGGCAGCCAGGTTAAATCCAAACCTTTAAATATAGCTACAATATCCTTCATGTTTGATATGGTTTGGATTTCTGTCCCTGCCCAAATCTCATGTAATTGTAATCCCCAGTGTTGGAGGAGAAGCCTGGTGGAAGGTGATTGGATCATGGAAGTGGATTTCCCCCTTGCTGTTCTTGTGATAGTGAGTTCTCACGAGATCAAGTTGTTTAAAAGTGTGTAGCACATCCCCTTTGCCCTCTTCCTCCTGCTCCAGCCAAGTAGGACATGCCTGCTTCCCCTTCATCTTCTGCCATGATCATACGTTTCCCATGGCCTCCTTAGCCATTCTTCCTGTGCAGCCTGTGAAACCTGAGCCAATTAAACCTCTTTTCTGTATAGATTACCTAGTCTCAGGTAGCTGTTGACATTTAGTGCTATAAATTTCCCTCTAGACGCTGCTTTAAATGTGTCCCAGAGATTCTGGTACATTGTGTCTTCGTTCTTACTGGTTTCGAAGAACATCTATATTTCTGCCTTCATTTCATTGTTGATTCAGTAGTCATTCAGGAGCAAGTTGTTCAGTTTCCATGTAGTTGTGCGGTTAAAAAGAAGTTTATATTGAATATTCAAACTCTAGGGAACATTTTGGGTAGTTTTTAAATAACCTAACATTACGATCTCCTAACAAGGTTAACAACAGTACACAGAATCAGGTTTTGACACTATCAATTGAAGGACATTTTTTGTTTCTAAAGCTTATTTCTTAGAATACCATTTATAGGATTTGTGTAAAATATACAATGTTTCTACTTGTAAGAGTCACCCGCACCCATTATGATTGCTAAACATAAAAACAGAAAATAACAAGTATTGATAAGGATATTGAGAAATTGGAACCCTTGTACACTGATGGTGGAGTTGTAAAATGGGTCAGCCATTGTGGAAAACAGTATGGTCGTTCCTTAAAAAGTTAAAAATAGAATGACCGTATGATCCAACAATTCCGTTTCCAGGTAAAAAAAGCAGAGTTCCGAAGACATATTTGTGTACCCATGTAAATAGTGACATACATTATTCACAATAGTCAAAAGGTAGAGACAACTCTAGTATCCATTGATGGATGAATGGATAAACAAAATACATACATACAGTATATACACACATACAATGGAATGTTATTCAGCCTTAAAAATGAATGAAATTCTGCAATACGTTACAATACACACAAACCTTGAGAACATTATGCTAAGTGAAATAAGCTAGTCACAAAGAGACAAATATTGCATGATCCTGCTTATATAAGGTACGGTACCTTGAATGTCAAATTCAGAGACAGAAAGTGGAACAGTGGTGCCCAGGGGCTGGGTGAAGGGAGGAAGGGGGAGTTGTTGAATGGGTATAGAATTTTAGTTTTGTAAGGTTAAAGGAGTGCTTGAGGTTGGTTGCATAACACTGGAAATGTATTTTATTACTACTGAACTGTATACTTGAAATGGTAAATGTTATTCTGTGTGTTTACTTTCTTTTTTTTTAAGTGACTCACCGTTAGTAGTACACCAGCTGTGAACACACTTATGGCAAGAACTGTAAGCAAGATCATGACCACTTCTCTCCTGTATGACTCTGTCCCAGTGTGGGATTGTAACCGGGTTTTTTCTTGGGTGCTGGTGAGGCATGGCTCCCCTGACAGAATGCTGTGGGTTCTTGGTCTCCGATTTCTTAAGAATTAGCGATGGGACCACTGCAGGTGCGCCGTACGCTCGTAAAAGTAAATATTGGACCCAAGAAGTGTTGCAGAGAGATGATTTTATTTAAGTAGAGAGAAGAAGAAAAGGAGAATAAGAGAAAGACTTCCATGAATAGTGTGGAAGGGGATTCCAGAGGGGAAATCCGACAAGGTGTGTGGATACGGACTTTTATCCTGGGACGAACTCCCACCTCTCCAAGACCCTGGGCCATTGAAAGGAGTTCCTTAGAACTTCCGCTGGAGTGATTGACTTTTAGTTTCTTCCTGTGCTTGCGAAATTCAAACATAAACCGTTAAATCTCCCAGATGGAGAGAGATGGCAGGGGGGCATGGCGCTGGGAAATTCTTGCCCTTAAAACTGTGCCCCCTTGTGGACCTGGAAAGAGAACACATTCTCTCATTCCCCTCTGAACAGGAAAATTCAACTTTGGTTGGAATAGGGGCGTCGATCCTCTTTACTTCCTGCCGAAATGGGGCATAGAAGGGGCCCTGCAGTTGAGGTTTCCTCCAGAGGGGAGCCTTTCGGGGGTGCAGGTTGATCTACAGGTCCACAATAGAGCTCATGAGCCAAGGACATCCAGGGTTCTAGTGGCAGGATTGTGACCTTATGACTTTTTAATTGTGACTTTTCTGTAAGAAATGACTATGACAAGGTGGTTAAAGATGAGAGGCCCAGAGGCCAACAAATGTAGAATGGTTATAAATGAGCCTAGGAGAGAACAGAGCCAGGTTCTTGAAGGTCTCTAGCCCTGTGTTTGATTGATTCCTGAGTTCTATATTCAAAATAACACTTAACTGGTTTACAAAATAGCATTTTTCCTAGAAAGAAACAGGTTCCTCTCTCTGTTGTTAGCAGATTTAGGGCCCTTTTATTTTTAAAGCTATGGCAGCTAAAGAGTTAAGTTGGTTTGCAGAGAGAGCTGCCTTTTGCAGAGAGAATTAGCAATGTTTTTTGTTATTAATTAGCTCCTGGGATAGCTTATTGTAACTGAACAGAGGTAGTAGCTTTTCTAATAACAGCACCAATGTTTTTTATTATTTGAGGAATGGCAAAGTTGAGGGTTATAGTTCTGTTAATGCCAGGATAAATTAGACTTATGAGGGGTTAATCCTCTGAAGATCTTGTTGGAAAAGCAGATGTACATCTTCTAATGGCACGTAGGTGTGCAAAGGATTATCTCCTTGAACTTCAGGCTGCGGAGTGGAGGGTCTATGACTTTCCTCAGGAGGTATCCAAGGCTTAAGCTGAGTGTGATGAATCCGTGAGTCAGTCCCCACCACCTTAAGTGCCATTGGGGTAGACAGAATAACCGAAAATGGTCCTTCCCAAGATGGGCCTAGAGAAGGAGAGTCTGAGGGGAGAAATTTAACAAGCACCAAGTCTCCAGGCCAGAACAACTCTTTCCCTTTTCCCTTGGATGTTCTTCAGGCTAAGTCTTGAGAACCTGTTGGTACTTAGCCGAGGAGGTTATATGTTATATTAGATCTGCTGTGGTTTTGTCTAATACAAGATCATTAGTAAGAAAGGGCCATCCATAAAGCATCTCATAAGGACTGAGTCCTATTTTCTGAAGAGAATCTCGAGCTCTTAAGAGTGCTATTGGTAATAGAGAAGGCCGCCGTGGCTTTCCTGTGCCAGTTTCTTTAGGTGTCTCCTAAGAATTTCATTTATCTTTTCTACTTTCCCTGAGGACTGAGGCCTCCAAGCACAGTGGAGATGATACTGTATCCTTAGAGCCTTGGAAATTTCTTGGGTCACTGCAGCTTTAAGGTAGAACTGTTATCGCTTTGAAGACAGCAAGGGAGTCCAAATCTGGGAATTATTTCATTAATTAGGACTGTTATTACTTCTTGGGCTTTCTCTGTTCTACAGGGGAAAGCCTCAACCCAGTTTGTATAAGTACCACACATACTAGCAGATATTGATGTCCCCGAGAATTAGGCATATGGGTGAAGTCCCTTTGCCAGTCCTCACCTGGGTAATGTCCAGCTTGTTGTTCCTCAGGGGGAGCTTTGTGATGTGCCAAAGGATTATTTTTTTTTTGACATACTTCACATCCTTTGACTATTTGTTGGATAGCCTTGAAGAGACCTTTGTCTGTAAATGTAGATTTGGCCATCTGATGTGTATTCTCTAAACCCATATGGAAGGTTTGATGCAGAATTTTAAGTACTTTCTACTGGCTGGCAGCAGGTAGAAGCACCTTTCTCTCCTCAGTGGCTAACCATCCTGAAGGAAGAAGATTGTGTCTTCTTCCCCAATCTCCCTGGGAGATTGCCCACTCTACCTCTTCTGATGAATTTTGAGGTCTAGTTCCCAGGAGTGGGATCTTCCATGTTAAATTTCCTTTCACAAATGCTTGTCTAGCTGCCCTTTTAGACTCTAGGTCAGCTCGGCGATTGCCCTCGGCTACCTTGTCATCTCCTTTCTGGTGATCCTGACAGTGTAAGACTGCTACCTCTTTTGGTTCTTGGACAGCTTATGATAAGTCTAAAATTTTCTTGTGGTATTTAATGGGAGTTCCTGCTGAGGTTAGGAACTCTCTTTTCTTCCATGGGCATGCATGGGCATGCAAAACCAGGTAAGCGTATTTGGAATCTGTGTATATGTTGACTTTCTTTCCTTTTCCTAATTTTAGAGCTTGGGTGAGGGCTATCAGTTCTGCCAGCTGGGCACTAGCACCAGGTGAAAGGGAATTGTTTTCAAGCACTGTTTGATCACTGACTACTGCATATCCTGCTTTTCGAACTCCATTTTCCACAGGGAACTTCCATCATTGTAAAGGTTAAGGTCAGGGTTGGCTAGAGGAGTATCTAAGAGGTCCTCTCGAGCAGCATAGTTTTGAGCTGTAATCTGCTGACAATCATGCTCTGTGTCTGCTCCTCTCAGGGAGGAAAGTAGCTGGGTTGAGGGCTGCACATGTATGCAGCTGAAGTACAGGCCCTTCGAGCATTAAGGCCTGATATTTGAGAAAACGATTGTCAGACAGCTGTGAGCCTCCTTTAGAGCCCAGAATTCCAGCTACATCATGTGAAGTCCATATAGTTAGATCTTTTCCTTGCACTATTTTAACTGCCTCTGAGACCCGTATAGCCACTGCAGCTACGACTCATGAACAGTATGGCCAGCCTTTTGCTACTGCATTAATTTTCTTAGTTAGGTAGGCCACCGGTTGTGGTGTGGCTCCCTGAGTCTGGGTGAGAACTCCCAGTGCCACTCCTGACTTTTATGTAACATATAGGGAGAAGTCGTTTCCTATAGGTAGGCTTAGAGCTGGAGCCTGCAGTAGTGCCTGCTTTAGATTCTGAAAGGTGCCTCAACTATCGGGTCCCAGAGTACTAAATGGGTATTAGCTTTTTGGGTTTCCTTAATTAGAGTGTACAGAGGT